CTCCCAAACCCCTCAACCGATTGACCTAAAATTTGAGATTTGATGCTGTGAGATCACACTAAACAAGTACACCAAGTTTCATCAAAATCAAAAAATATGTGGTTAAAATTTTCAGATTTTTTGGGTGATTTGACATGGAATGACCCTTAGGTTTTCCCATTTTTTAGGTAACCTAATCTTTAGAAATATGGTTCACCTGGTTACTATTATATTGATGTTGACATGGATTTTCTTTTTCAAAATGAATGAAAACTTAATCAGTGGATAATTCCATCGGTAGTGTATCTACCAGTAATAAATTGAACCAATCCTTTTGGTTTAATTGCAAATAAATTACTCCTTTAGTAATTCATGAATAAATAGATAATTATAGTATAATATTAAAAAACATATTGTTATCATGCATCATTGGATTTGCTCTTGAACTTAATGGATTTTGCCATTCTGCAAGTTCTATCCTTTGATTGAATTAATCATTGCATTAATTTGATTTTAATGATTTTTTGAAGGTCACATCAGCACTAGATGATATCGAGACCCAGTTATATGCTGCCAAGCAGTCTGGGCTATTAAGAGGAACATTGTCTGCAGAAGAACAGTTCAAATTAATTACAGGGAGTAATGACCTAGTAGAGGCCGTAAAAGGAGCTAAGCATATCCAGGTAGGATGTTGGGGGTGGCATTGAGGTGGGAAAGTTTTTGGGATGCTAGCTGTGAGAGTAGAGTAGGGACACTGGTTAGGGGTATGAGTTAATATGATGCAATTTTTAACTACTTGCTCAGAATTTTTTTTTAATTTAGAGATCTATGTCTCAGGAACATTTTCTTGGGGTCCCCCCCCCCCACCAAATCCCATTTTATGTATGCAATTCAGTGGTGGATCCAGGAATTTTACGTAGATGGAACCCATGGAGGGACTATCACAGATGCAGTCCCACCATGGTGGGAGCTGAGGTAAGAAAATGTATGATTATGGCATCTAGATGGCTGGAAATAGCACTCTTGAGTCTTCAGACTTGAAATTGAGTACATGTAGTATTTTCTTTCTTCAATGGCCAGCCCCACCCTCTCAATCCACCCATGCAATTGAGTGAAATGTACCCCTCATAGGATGAACTATATAATGCAGCAGATATTATTACTCCCATAGCTAGTGTTTATATTCTATAATTGTAATGTAACTATATAATTATGTAAATATTATTATTATTATTGTGGTTGTTGTTATTGGTTTTATTTATCGTGAATGTTGTTATCATTTGAAGACTATTTTGTTTTTCAGGAATGTGTCCCAGAAATTCTTGATTTAAAGAAGGCCGTTTTCAAAAATCTTGATAAATGTGTAGATGAGACTGCAGTTATCTCAAGCTCAACTTCATGTCTAGCGCCCTCTCTATTCACAGAAGAACTATCCAAGCGTGACCATTGCATAGTTTGTCATCCAGTAAGCAATTGTTTATTTTTTTTTGCATACTGGTAACAAGATATTTCAGGGAAAAAAAAAACTGACAGACCCTCAGACAACAACACAGCTTTAGTTACACACACTTTGACCCTTCCAAAAACAGGGAACTCTAGTTCCAGCCAAAAACTTAAAGTACATAATAAATGTAATTACATTTATAGACTTCATAACTTAAAAAAAAACATAATTTATTTACTCATATCTATCATCTCCACAGGTGAATCCTCCATATTATGTTCCACTGGTGGAAATTATACCATCCTCCTGGACAGATAAGTTCACCATGGATCGTACAAGAGCATTGATGGAAGAGATTGGTCAAGTGCCGGTCTTGGTTAAAAAGGAGTTACCTGGATTTGCATTGAATCGTATACAATATGCAATCATTGGAGAGTGTTGGCGCCTTGTACAGGTAGGTAATAATTATGCTCACAGCTGTCCAGGCGGCATGGAAAGGAACTGGCCACCCTACCTACCACAAAGCCGAGGCTTAGTATGATTGGCTCCTAACAGCTCATTTCCCTACATTCATTAATAAATATGGGACTGCCTTTACATTAACTGTGGATTATAACAATTTTTCATTTGTAGGAAGGTGTAATGTCAACTGAAGATGTTGATAAGGTGATGTCAGCTGGGTTGGGTCCACGGTATGCTTTCATGGGTCCACTTGAAGTTATGCATCTCAATGCTGAAGGTATGATAATGGTAACTGATAACAGTAATGACCTTTAGGTTACAAAGCGCTTTGTTTTCACTGGTCATTGTGTTCACATGCTTAAGTGTTGCTGCCATATTGGCACAGTAGAAGATAACCCCACTTGGTAACCATTTATACTCCTGGGTGAAGAGAAGCTAGGCAGAAAGTGCCTTGCACAAGGACACAAGCAAAATGCACAGAGATTGATTGAAAACCCAACCTCCAGGTTGGGAAACCAAACCGTTTCCGCTGCGCCAAACCGCTTCCTCAGGCAATGCACAGTATCATTGCTTCTCTCTATCTTGGAGATAATATAGTGCTTATAGCCTGAATATTCATGCAGTGTAGGATACGATCTCAGGAGATGGTTGCCAATTTTGCTGCCCCTGCCCCCTTCCCCACACACAACTTATATACACCCACATATAGTCATGATAGGTTGGCCTGATATAACAATTGTGCGAAAGCAGTGATTAAATTGAATTGCAGACCATGGTTCTGCTAGAATCTCTACAGTTCACATACACAGTGGATATCACCAAGTTTATCCAACTGAGCCATGCACTGATCAGATCACTCAGGGCATGGAAGAATTAGTTCTAAATTAATTCCTCTAATGCTCAGGGTGAAGTAGAAATAATTAGCAAAATGTGCAACAATCTCCTGAGGTAGTATTCTGCACTGCAGAAATATTCAGGCTATAAGCACTTTATTAACTCCAAGGTAGACAAAGGCAATGATATTGTGCATTGCCTAAGGACACTGAATTTACATATCTAAGTTTAGGAAGTGCACCCTCACAAAAATTCTGTGTGAATAACAAAGATGTTATAATTACAAGGTAGCGTTTTCCGCGATTTCTGAATGCAAATTTTGTAATTACTTTTTAATTTGACATCAGACATCGTTAACTAAAGATAGCGCATCTGCGTGCAAATTCTATAACAACCATAGTAACAACTAAGGCGTCCTCTCCCAAGAGTGATTATTTTTATGCTTTTTTTTATTACGCGTAGAATTGCACAGAGCACTATCTTGTAATTATGAGATCTTTGGTGAATAGGTGTTGTACCAGCTAAATATCTACAATCATTTATACAATCAGAATCTCATATCAAACTTTTGTGAATTTCTCATCTTCAGGTATGCAAAGCTATATAGATCGATATGCAAAGAGCATGACAACAGTTAGCTCAACTTTTGGCCCAGCGCCAACATTTGATGGAGCAGCACTCAATGAGATTGTCAAGGATATGAATACACAGATACCCCTTGTTAACCTGGACGAGAGGCGTCAGTGGCGGGATGCTCGTCTACTAGGTCTAGCCAAACTGAAAAAGGATATGGACTCTGAGCAGAAATAACCATTAACTTAGTGAGTCAACAAGTATAGTTGTAGCTTATAAAAATTGTGATTACAGTTTGGCTATATAATATTTTCAAAATATAAGGTGTTTTCTAGAAAATTATATATTGAATTTCTACTAAGTAAAATCAATCTTGCTATAAATAGAACTTAAGTTGTTTTTAAATTTTATGTATTTTTTGCTGCCAATTATTTTTACTAAATTTATGATTATTTGTTTAAAGTTGACCTAAAACAAACAAGAAGTATTTTGCTGTCTGGTTAACAAACAAATATATAGTACTGTTTTATGTTCTTTGCATAGAACCTTAAACTGGCTCTTATTCAATTTAGCGATTTAGTGAAAACTAAATTGTGTAGATCTGTGTGTGATTTTTTTTTAATGGCTGAACAACTTTAATTTTAAAATGATCAGTTTACAATTTAAATAAAATTATACAGAAAGAAACCAAAATACCTGCTGCATAATTCTGAGTATTTATTCAATATTTATAGTTTCAACTGAAAATGGATTTTCACTGTGATTTAAATATACATATATATATAATACTGTGTGTTGAAATTACTCTGATGTTACCAACACAACATTGCCATCATACATTATTATCACTTAATAATATTGTGATTTTATGGTAAAGGACCTTGCCTTTCAGTTAAAGGATTAGGTTTGAATCCCATCAAATTCCAGAATCATTTTTACATACTGTATCCCAATCTAAGCTGGAAAAGTAGACTTAGCACCAGTCTTTCAAGCTTATAAATTTTCAACACCCATTAATTGTTAACAAAAATTATGACCATTGCTATTTCTGTTTCACATTGGGCAATGTATAATCAAATTAGATTTAATTAAAAAAATAATTACAAAACATTTTAGAAATATAAATTAGTTAAGCAATTTTAAACCAACAATTCATACCAACTGAGAAAATTTCTATACTGAGAACATTTCTATATAAAAAAAATATTCTTGAAGCTAATTATTATAAAGAAAATAACTTCAGGTGATGGGTTATTTCAGCACACTGTAATTGTTTAATATTTTACTGAAAAGAATTAATAATTATTATTACTGTATGATCAAAAATAATTATTACTGTATTTACTGTTTGTATAAATATTTAAGTAGATGGGAAAATGTGTCTGGTGGCTGTCAAGTTTTGCCTATCAAGGGAAAAGTTTAAGACTTTACTATGAAGGTACAGTTTAAATCTATATACTTACACCGGAATGCTGTTTTTATCTGGAATGCAATAGTTTAAAATAAAAGAAGCTATATACCATAGTACCCTCTCTCATTAAACATGGTTTAACCTTAAATTTTGTAATTAACAGGGGCGGATCCGGAGATGTCCAAAAGGTGGGGGAGGGCCCAAAAGTTGGGCCGATTGAGACAACAATATCCAGGGGGTCCTGCAAAATTTTTATGTTCTAGACGCCTGAAAATAATACTTGAGGCGTTCTGGGCTATCATTTTTTTTTCTCTTTTTTTCCCTTTTTTTTTTTTACCTCCCAAAAGGGGAGGCCGGCCCCCTAAATCCACCCCTGATAAATGCAAATTTTAATTTACTCTGGTAGAACAACCTTTAAACTTTTAAAGGTTGTTCAAAAATATTCCAAAATCTGTATCTTATTAGCTATTCCAGATTATTACACCTCTTCAGTGTCTTAGAAAAATCATTTTTACAACATATAAAAATTTGTTTTCCTCTGGAGCCTGGCTTTAATTAATACAAATATGTATTTACTGGTGGTAGATCAACCTTTAAACTTTTAGTTGCCAAGGGAATTATTTCAAATCTTCATGTGCTCATATTTGGTTGCTGCGGCCGGACCCACGCCATAACGTATGGTGCCACATAGTTTAAGTTGAAGCCTGCATTTGTTAATGTTGCACAATTTGATGCGTGCATTTGCTGTTGATATATTGTCGAAGGTGGTTGACTGGCTTGTAAATTACATTGTACATTATTGTTCATAAAACTGGTGTTTTCTGGAACCACAGCCAGCAGACTGTTATTTGATAACAAGCACCGATTGAGGGCGCCATTACTATTTTGTGATTCCTGTGTGAGGTGCTGGCTGATTGATTCTGGAATCGCATATTGATAACGTGTGTCAATAGTCAAAGGTTTCATAATTTTGGAGAGGGTGTTCGCACTGGTATCAACTACACCAGTCGGTATGGCTGGACTTCCTTGGGGTATCGTAGGTATCGTTCTAGAAGACCAAACCGAGTGATCAGTAATCTGCGACGACACACAACTCTCTTGTCCGCAGAGTTCTAAACGCTGCTGTAAATGTGTCCTCAGCCGTAAGATTACTGGATGTTCAGGCGGGAAGCCCTCATTTTCGATAAGATATCTGATTGTCTCTTTCATACAAGCTCGGAAGCCATCTGTTCGGCTGACAGTATCGGTTTGTTCCTTGCTAACCTCTGGACACTTGGCGTACATGCTAACGTTATCTGAAGAGAAGTGAAGAGAGTAAATATATGAATTATTATATTCAGGTATCAAAGGTATTGATCAAATCATTTTATTTAAAATATTGGTATTATTTATTTAGTAGGCACATGAGCAATAAAATAGTGAATATATTCCTTTCACAAAGACTACACAAAGGAATCTGCACAGCAGTAAGAGATTTGAATCAAGAGCGACCAATTTCAATTGTCCATTGTAGCACGAAAAAGTACACTATTCGAAAAAGAGTAGGGTTTATCTCGTGCACTAATGATGATAAATCAAATCCCACTAAGTTCAAAACATCTGAAGTTGAGCTGCAGAGAAATCGTGTGGTGATCAAACCAAACTGATGAAGAGCGCCCTCTTCTACTTTACATTTAGGCAAAGCGAATGTATTGGCCTTTGTGGGAAGATAAATGGTTTTTATTTGATTGATCTTTAAGTCTTTAAAATGGACCTTTCCGTTAAGCCCCGCCCCTTGGATAATGTTACTAAGGTCCTACCAAAAGACATGTAATCTCTCACGATGTTCTGATTGGTCAGGAAAGGTCTATATAAAAACGCTGAATTGCTCGTCTAGTATCATTACAATTATCAATGAATAATATATCTTCTTTCAACACACACTTTGAAATAATCCCGTTTCTAAATGACTTACAATGTTTACTACAATAATATTTAAATTGATTACCAGCCAGGGTCTATACAAAGAATATACGAGCGGCAGTATATGGATCTGTTAATTGGTAACGTCATAATGTAGGCCTACACAACGCTATTGACCTAGTCCTACTTATATATACAATTCAAATATTTAATTTTATTATTACAATTTATCATTTCAATGTAGACAGATATTTAATATTAATTTTGGAACAGATGAAACTAATCCTTTAAGTGAGCTTTCAGAAAATTCATTGGCGTTTGACACCTTTCCCGTTGATACCACTTAAAACGTGTATTGAAAGCGCGTATCTAATGAATAAAAGAGTATTGACGCTCGAGTTATATTTTTGCGAGTGTCGGTGAAGTTTAAGCTTTGTTATTAAGTTAAATATCTTGAATTAACGAGTGTTGGCTCGGCATAGGAACCCGCAGTAATCAAATATTTATTCCATTCCCATAGAGCAAACAAATCCACATCGTTAGATAAATATAACTTGTACTTGAGCATAGGCCGAGGACATGTCATTAACGTGTTTAGCAACTGTGCAGCACTACGATGACCATTTCCTATGCTAGTTAGCCAACGTGATATTGAATACAAATTCGATGTATTCTTTATTGACGAATCACCCACCGATGATAATAATTTTGATCAAATGATAAAGTAGTTGGACCAATCGCGTTTCGGATAAATTCAAATGCTGCAACTTATTCGAAGTGGCAAAACGACTGGTATAAACATAGGCCTATATTTAAATTGCAAGACAGTAGTAGCATCGCCATTGATAAATTGCGTGTGCCAACAGAGATTTTGTTTTCAAACTTTTAAAGTTCATCGAACTAATTCTCTTGGGAAATTATTAGTTCATTAAAGGGGTTAAATATACCATCTTCTATGTTTAGAGAATTAATTATTGCCACCAATTACCTGTTTGCTCCGTATATTAATTACATTATGGCCAGGTTCGATACGGTACTGTAGTTAATAGGCCTAGTTTTATACGCTAGAATATTGTAATTCTCTCTGGAAAAAATCCGTCATAAACATCACGGCCCTACCATGTGTGCATAGCAAACGAATGTAACTGAAATACGAATTTATTTCCATTGTATGAATATGTCAATATGATGCCATAGCATAAATCATACCAACGTTGATTATATGTTGATTTCTAAGCTGACTGGAGAAAGAAACATCGTTCATTTATATTCCCAAACCTCAAATTTGCCTGTGGATAATGGGAATGAATTGATTTTCGCCCAAGGAATTCTTGTTGCAAACACAGTCCACGATCGTCTCTAGCAAAAGATTAGAATTCGCAGGGAACATTGAAATTTCACTGTTCCCTGGTATTCGGGTGCAGTTACCGACAATATACAATCGAGAACAGTACAATATCAAGAATTAAAAGAGAAATACTGAAGAAAAAACATTGCAGGAAACGACTGCTTGATCTTATTTGAGATGCAAAATTTTGGGTCACCTATTGGTTGTTGGAAATAGTACCACAAATGTGTTGTACTGTTTTAGTGATTTATATTATATTGATTATACTTGTTGATTCAATTTGTTTCGTGGTTAATGAATCAACTAAGCAATCCCCAACCATATTATGATATTCTTGTTCAGACCATTTTACAGGGATAGCATTAAACATTAATACACAACCGTTCTCTTCGTTTGTTGCCGCATGTATTAGGTCTACATCATAATTTCGGCCCGATTAAAAAGGGTATGATCGGGCGAATTCATATGTTTAGTACGACGGCTTTAGAGTGGTCTCCGACGTCAAGGGAATCCATGCTTGTCCAACGGGGATACTTGACCCCCATTGACACCACCAGTGTTTTCATGTCCAAATGGTCGTAAGAGTCTGAGCCTGGTGCGATTTTATGAATCATGTAATTGTGTAAAATGTATCTCTGTGTAAGGAAGATAGGCCTCGTAAATCTGCGTTTGGTAGGTTTATACACTTCAGTAAGTTAAGCAGTTGTTAAATGTGAACGTAATGATTTGACAACAGTGGTTGTTGCAATAGGTTTTGCTAAATTAGATAAAACAGCCATATTTAATAGGTATTTACCTCACTGATTGACGTTATCGTACACAAGCCTCGGCAATCTAGCGTGCTAATGTAAACGGGATTGTGTAGTATCGATTCAACCTGAAGATTTGTTTTGTTTATCTGTACATAAACACGTTAAATTGAACGCCGTTGGGGTTATCAGCAATTTCTATAGCTACTTGTATGGATGTAGAATTTATCAACGTTTGAACAAGCTTCTTAGCGTCATGTCTAGCTTTATATTTATCTGTAAGTCCTAAGAGCTCACGAGAGGCACTGTACCAGTCCAAGTCAAGTCAGGTCAAGAGATCGGAAGATAATTTTCAAGGGGTGACATACTTTGAGATGAAAATAGTTATAATTATAATTAATATAATTTATACGCGCTACTGAGTAGCTGGGATAATCGTCCCTTCAGGATCTATATACGCTGCCTTTAGACGAATTCTGGGCATCACATGCAGACCACATCTCAAGCATGTCTTCTCTTCTAAAGGACGTCTGAGATGGCTTGATCGAATCCCCGAAGACATGCTGTATGCTGTGAGCTTTGTTTGGCATGCGACATTGATCAACATTAGCAGATCGCAGTGTACCTGGAGGAAAGAGGCGTACTGAGAAGCGGACTGAGGTAGGTTGAGCTTTGGGGAGGAGAATTCGCGCAGTCGTCAACATCAGCGCCACCACCACAGACGGCAACTTCACTTGCAGTATTGCAACAAGATTGGCTATTCAGCCACAGCAGGAGATGCAGTGCCAACCTCGACCTATAAATATTCATTTCCAAATATTAGATTAATTTTTAAATTAATATAATTTGTAATCTTCAATCGTCATAAACAAAAATCCAAACTCAATTCATAACGAAAAAAAAAAACTTGTCTCTCGAGACAGACAGATGCCAATCATGTGATCGAAATTATGCATTATCGTATAGCATCATCCAGGCACGCTGCCTGTGCTCTAGACGAAGAGTACAGCCACCGAGAAAACGGAAGCTTGTGTTTACGAGTAGGAAGTAGTGAGAGGGTTGAGGTCAAGTTGTCGAAGACCCTACTAAGGTGAATAACACGATTAATTTGTATAACGTCGACGTATACTGTACAACGATTCCCGCAACGAATACGGTATTGAACGCTTTAGTGTCCGTTGACGAATCCATCTCTGTGACCGCTTGACGACACGACCCCGCCTGCTGTTTGTCGGTGATAGTCTGAGGGGATTCGTCACGTGCGCTCCGTCGAGTTGTGTCCTCCATGGAATCACGTCGGCACTGGTGCCGGGTCTAAATGTTACTACGCGGGTTTTTTTTTTTCAGATTTCAGTTGAGGCACAACCTCGGCGACGACATAAGTACGGCGCATAGCGTGTGCTTCTTGCCTTTGCAATCGAGATCTGGGTTCGATCGACGGATAGGCCTATTAATATCTCATGACAATCACAAGCGTGCTTGCATACAAACCTTGTACGTGTTGGATTCCTGTCTCAGCTTGGCTCGCTACTTTTGTAGATTTGTTCTCATTGAGGTAATCAATCGTAGCCTGTAATAGCTCCACTTTGTCGTTTTTGAAAGTCTACAAGAACAAAACAAAAAACGATACCGGTACATTAAGCAACTATCAATGTCTAAAGGACACACAAAAGGCATAGTGTGGTTAACAAAGACAAAATATAATATATAGGCATATAATTTATAAATATAATAGAATAATGGATGTCGCAGATTTATACAAATTGAAGGGTACAGGGAAATGAGATGTTAAAGAAAACATTTTTATTATAGACCTATACGTTACTGTGTGTTAGACTTCGTGGCATTGTACTGCCACCAGTGCATCCAATATAATTGTATCATGGTGGATAGATACCGAATTATATAGAAGAGAGAAGTTATTTCTCTCAAATAGGTAAACCAATTAGACCACAATTGATATTTTTTTTCCTTTCGACTCTCATCACGGGTAAGTAGCGCATGGTAAGGGTCTGTCTCTACGGTAAGGGTCTGTCTATACGATACAAGTAGGCATATTTGTATAGAGGTAATTTTTAAATTTCTACCATATTCCAGAAGCATTTCATAGTTGATTACTGCTGAAGATAGACGATACTGTTCACGTGTAATGTACCGTAACGTTTTCAGCTGAGCCCACCACGATGCCAGATTTGTGAAGGCTTTGGTCATAGCATTCAATAGCAGAGTCTTTTACTTACACTAATCTCTCTGCCTTTCAGACCGAGTGTGAAATTGAACAGAAGGAGTGTGTTTAGGAGTATGTTTATTGGTATTATTCTGGATATGAGCTAGAAAATACACAGTGCACCCACAGTACCGCCTTACTGGCCTTAATGACACCAGGCACAATGATCCGGTTGTACAATGCTAAGAAAGTGCACAAAGCGATTTGTAGGACTTTATGCTGGGTTATTAGTTCTGAACAAAAGGTAACTACGGTAACCCGTACTTGCTGAAACAAACTGATTAATTATTGGTAAAACGGTTGTAGTAAAGCTGATATCGGCAGGTGTTGATGGTATAAAATTAATAACCATTAATTGAATAATACGTGCATAATGTGCGCACTGTGCTGTATTTATCATTCTTATTGATTACTGGTAGGTCTATTTTATTAGAGGTAGGCCTAATGGCCAATTGAATTTTGGCCATTGTTTTAATAGCAGTGGATTGTGTTAAGGTTTTCGACTGTGTATTTC